GTGCGAAGCCGGGGCGGGTCGCTAGTATATAATATTCCAGAGCATGATTGTGCGTGGAAGAAAGTGCATTGAAAAACGCACGGTAGAAGATTGCCACATTAAATTACATTATAAAATAAAATAGTCTTAGTACCTAGGGCTGCCATCAGTCCTGAATTCTTTGGATTTGTCCTAATTTGAAGGTCGTCCGGGGGCCGTCCAGCAGAGGTTTTTGAAAAGTGTCCGGGTGTAACCATTTCAGTCAAGGAAATCCAATTTTTTTATAGGTAGACGATCATGAGAAATAAATCTTAGTTACAAGTTCATCCACAATAACTCTGTTTTATATAACAATGTTTTTATTTATGTTACAAAAAAATATTTTTTCAGAAGTGTCCGGAAAAAAACCATATTTCGCCCAAATGTTCGGGATTTATGCCGTGTTTATTCGGTGTCGACAATTTAGGTGACGGCAGCCCTATCAATACCTATCAACATCGTGAAACTCCTTGCTCTGTATAAATAAACAATACTACATCCAATTTTCAGCACAACACCGTTTGCACTGTACTTTAAAATACATACGTATTAGAATATATACCTTCGCGTAACAACAATAAACATGGAATTACAGTGTAATCAATTAAATCGTAAATCTTGGAATACAGTCATAAATACCATCTCGCATCCTACGCATTTAGCGTGTGCGATTCCAAACCATTTTGAGAGCAATCAGACTTTGTTACACGCATCTGCTTTTCATCCTATCGAACGTACTGCCAAGCAGTCCATATTAGTTTCTGGAAGCCATTACGAGAGAATAGGATGGCTTCATAGAACTTATTCGAAAATGACGATAGGTGAGTGTCATAAAAATACTATAAAATCTATTTTTACCGTTCTTTTTTCAAACGACTTTGAAAAGAAAGAGTTTTCTCAATTCGGTTGTTTTTTTTTTTAATGTTTGTTACCTCACAACTCAGTCAGTTCTGAACGGATTTGAATTTTTTTTTATTTTTTTTTTTATTAGAAAATGTCTATCCTTTCGTTACATTACAGGTTGGTCACATAGAAATTGTATTAAAATCGATTCAAATGTTTTGTTTTTAAATCAGAATAACTGGTATACATTTGAAATTGTTTTTTTTTTTTTTTTATAAGACACAAATTTTAATTATTTTAGGACACTTAGAATAGCAAACAAGTAGACTGCTTACCTGACATGAACAGCAAGTACCATGTAGATTACTTCTCCTATCTTTTATCGTCCGCAATACAAGTACTTGTGTGTGTGTGTTTTTTTTATGGGTAAAAATGGTATGGTAACCCCGCCTGCGCTAACGGGATACGCTGGCGTAGCACCAGTGAAGGGTGATAGATGAGAATAAAAACAGGCCAGTTAGCCCATCTTGATGAATTTATCAGGAATTAACTATGATAGTTTCCAGGGGAAACCGCGAGGAGGTCGACCTGGTTGGATATATTGCTAGCAATGGGATTCTCAGTCTCCATTACTAACAATCCCTTTCCCCCCAAGTACTGTGTTAGGTTGACTGGAAGAAATCTCTTTTAGAGATAAGTTCGCCTTTGCTAACGTTGTTATTAACTTCTTGTTATTACTGTATGTTAAAGTGCAATAAAGAATATATATACAATATAAGAAATCAGTCGCTCGTCACTTCGCAGTTTCTTCTTCTACACAGTCCATTCATCATTTTGGGTCTTTCTTAAGACGAATTCATCCAAATTCAGACTCGTTATTTTTTTAACCTAACTCAAAAAATGAGAAGATTTTCAATTCGGTGATATTTTTATTATATTTGTTGTCTATACTAGGTATACTTGATTTTTATGTTGAAATCGGTATTTTTTATTTTATAGAACAAAATTTACTTATTGTAATATTAAGTAAAAAAAACCCTTGTTGTATCAGCCGTAAACTGTCCACCGCTGAACGTAGCCTCCCCCATAATGGAGGTTTTGCCAATATTTGCCACGCTTGGCAGGCAGGTTGGCAACTGCAGTTTGGCTTTTGGTGATGTTTTAAGGGGGACGTTGGTGTCTATACCTCCGCTATAAGACCCCTTAGTAGCCTCTTACGACACACACGGAAAACAAAGGGGTGGCCTATTCTATGCCGGGACCATACGAATCAAAAAAAGAACGCATACTTAAATTAACACAGTGATTCACACATAGACACATTTTGTAGCTGTGTTCAAATGTCGATCACCTTATTGGCATTTGGAACCGACAGACGGTTTTCCCTGTCGTATTTTTAGTGAACATAGATACTTCAGCGAAAATAGAATTGTTGTGGTAATTTTTAGTGAAATTACATTACTACGTCAAACATTCTTGCAATTAGAATACGCGTTTGCAGACTTTATTTTTTATATATACATATATATTTTACCAGAGGGAGACTTTGTACAAAAGTCGTTTGCTTGGACACCTCTGTCCCATTCGTGTTTCAACCGTAAAGCAGTTGTGTTTGCATAACTGTGTTTCGGTTTGAAGGGTGGGATATGGCGTGAATTTACTGGGTACGGAGGAATAACACCTGAGTCCTCAGGAATGGCAACGCATGGGGGGTATCATGGGCGAAACAGTATACTCTGTTATGTCCATGGTACTGCTCATGTCTATAGGCGACGGTTACCACTTTCCATCAGGTGGGCCGTCAGCTAATAAGCTGACGGCCCACCTGATGGAAAGAACACGCCATTCTAAGTGCTATAAAAAATATAATAGTACTTTTACTTTTCGATTGAGTTCAAAAAACAGGAGATACTCAAATCGGCTGTGTTCGTTTTGTTTGTTACCTTATAACTCCGTCGATTGTATTGTACCTTATAACTACGTCCGCACTTGACGATTTGTACCTTACAAATTGTCAAGTGTAAATTTCTCTTTTTTCTTTTATAATTTTGTTTTAAATAAATAAATAAATAATTAGATACCATGGAGTATTTTGTATATAATATCAAGAGATTTAAGGAATACATCTAGTAATATTATAAATGGGAATTTACTTTGACATTAAAATGATTTTACATTTGTAAATAATATAAATAAATAAAATATTCACAGGTTCTATTGTTGATAAAATTGTTTTATATCAAATCATAGACGTAATATAATTTGATAGCAATGCAGCTAGAATACATTTGGAGAAATGGGTCAGACTAGTCATATACTAGATACCTACCAAGCGATAGACACCCGTGATGTGGTCGGTGCGTAGGTGGGACGACGAAATATATGGTCCGACCAAGCTCAAAATAGAGACGAATATGTTTAGGTCTTTGCCTAGCAGTGAAATAAAAAGTAAGCATTAAAAATATATCACTAAATACTCGAACACATAGAGAAACAAACATCTACGTTATTGAAGAGTCAGCACTAGCTTTATATTGACGAAAGTGAAAATGAATCTATGCAACCACCATCAACACAATGAAAATAATTAATTTTTATAGTATTGTATAATTATTTATAATATGCTTATGTCCAAAATTTCGTCATCAATAGGTATCATAAAAAACTATATGATAGTGTAAAATTTTCAAAAGCAATTAAGCTTGTTGTTCAATGAAATTGCATTAATTTCATGCGAATGTTTTTTTTTATTTAAATATTTTTTTTAAGGTATAATAGAGGTCTATTTTAATATGTTATGAATTCATTCAATCTTTCTAGCCAATATCTTGTTGATATGTCAATAAAGTTATCTCTATAACTACTCAAGATTGTCTTGAATATAACAAATTACTCAGATAAGATAATACGGGATAGCATAATAAATAACAATTGCAAATTGTTATGACTCGCAAAAACTTGCTTTTCTATATAGTCTCCGATATCATAAAAAGCGATAATAATTATAGACGTTCAAGTGACTCATGGATATTACAAAGCTAAGCCAAGACAATTATAGGTTTATGTAAAATATATTGGAATGGTAACATGAAAGTTTCTTGGTGCGTATATTATATTATTTTATTAGGTTTTGGACATCACACAATGTCATTCGTTTAGCATTGTTAGCGGTAATTTTTATATTAAAGGTAAATTCCAATTAATTCTGATAGATACAAAATTGTCGAGGAATAAAATTTATAAATACATAAAAATCTTTTAGACCATAATTTAGACATATTATTTTTAAAACATTGCAACTCTTATTTCAGGTTAATTTGGATTATCTAAAAAAAAAATATTAAGAATCTAAGGGAACTGACCAGAATATTTTGTTGTGCCTGCGTGCAAATGTAAAAATATAATTAAATAAGAATTCAAAAAAATTAAAAGAAAAAAGTAACAAACTTAAAAATTAAAAAAGAAATTACGATATAAAAATGTATTATGCAATACATTAACAAAAGTGTCGATTTAAAAGTCCTTTTAAACAAGTCTATTTAAACAAAAACAATTTGCATTCTAATGTAAATAAAATATAATAATAAATGATAATACAAGTTGAATAGAGTTACTATAACATAAAACTAAGCGTAACACATACTAAAAAAAATATCCAACAATATTATTGCTGCAGTATTACATTGTTTTCAAACAACATCATTCATAATTATCTTAAAACAATAATTTACATCAAATGAAAAATCCCAAGCAATCAATCATTTTATCGTTTATGGAAAAATTAAAAAATAATGAGTCACATTGTTATGTTATCGCGAAATTCCCAATGTTTAACTGTTAAGATAACGCAGGATGTAAACACAACACCCGAAGTTCAAGTACGTTTATACTAAACATTTACTATCTACCAAACGATAAAATAAGCATTTCAAGCTAAAACTCGTAAAAACTTTACGACAACGCCTTAACATGTTTTATTGCTTACAGCTCTTTAATTAGAACTTAGATTAGATGTAACAAAACAATATAGACGTGAATATGAAAGTGCCATTCATGCAGACGTTATGAAAAAAGACGACTGGTTTAAACAATGGTGTCATTCAAACGCATCAACAGTACGAGATTTGAAAATCACTTACCACACAATTCAGCATCTCATGTGCTGTACCATAAAGTAATTCACTTTTACAAACAATATAAGTATCCCGGTTACCCTTAGTTAAAATATTTACTTTCCAAAAACACTGGTCTAAAAAAACACCCTTGTGAAACTCCCGACATTTATTTTATTCGTATTTCGTTCGACGCGTGCGCTGCAGTCTAAAAACGCGTGCCGTTCAATAGATGGCCGTTTAGAACACTGATCAGCGGCTGACTGACGCTGCGCTTGCGCCGGCGTCGGCCCTCTCTGTTTACTATACGCCATGTGCAAGATTATCAAACGCTTCAGTCGCATTTACAATTCTAACATTACGTGTTAGAGTTTAATTTGCATCGTCACTTGCATTCCATGGACCCTTATCTGTGTTAGTAAGTCGGACACATGTATTTGTCATTCATATGAATGAAATATAAACTGTACGTGCATTAGAGCTTTCTGTTACGCGCTTCTTTATAACCTTAATTAATGTTTTCAACTGCACGATGAGTTAGCGTAAGTCCTTGTGGGCACTTTATCTTGATGTTTGTGCTCCATAATTGTTGTCCCTTGTATAATTTTCTCTTTTTTAAGGATACGATCATAACATTCGTAGAAATGCACTTTAGTTATTTTATATTGCCTACATCATTATCATGAACACTACTGAGAAATATTTTTTATAGCAATGAAACAAATAAATAAGAAGAATAAGAATATCTTTATTTCCTTTAACAAAATTAGCCTATGGTACAATATAGCTATGATCCCACACTAGGCAAAGTATGGGGTCATAGCTATGAAGTAATTACCTTTTTTTGAGATTTTATTTAAATTCTGCAATCAATATCTTGGCTAGATTTTGATGCAATAATAGATATTGAAAACAATAAGGTCAATATATAACTATTTGACATGATCGCATTCTTCGTTTGTGGAATTTATCCTTTTAACACTTCCTTATTCATACATATGATAATATGTATTAAAAAATTCTTCCTATTCGTTTATTTTATCTAAGTAATGTTTTGACTTAATCGTTTTTTTTTTGGTCTCTTTTTTAACTTTCATTTTTTTTTATTTAATTTACATTATACTTTCATACAATAATGTAATATAATAAAATGACATACAGTAATTTTAAAATATTAAAAATGTACATGTTTAATTAATATCTTTAAATAATTTGTGTATACATCAATATTTATGGATACCTTTATTAAATAAAATCTCCTAGGGCCAATTGTTTTTCAAAAATCATTATAGACAGTATAAAAATGTAAAGGGTTAAAAATTTCAAAAATGTTGATAATTACTCGTATATTATGGTTCCTCAACCTATTTTTATTCAAGTACGTAACTTCTATTAAAACATCTGACCACAAACAAAAATAATAGTAGACGATTTACAGGGAAATTCGTCATCACTGTAGTATTCAAAAATATAAACATTGACCGGTTACGTTTATACATGAGCTCACTCACATACATTTAATAATATATTGAGAACAGTATTTGTGTTATTGTATTGGAGTATTAGGATTAAATCGTGGGCGTATTCATGTCGATCCTAAGGGTTCCTTTTTCTAAACCTATCTCTTACCTTTAATTATTGTTTTATAAACCATCATGGACTAAATTTATAATCATTTTGACTTAAATGTATTAGAAATTAGATGTTTACTTCATATTGGTCCTTGGAATCAAAATTTTCGCTGTAATATCAAATTGAAAATTTAATTTTAGACATAGATTTAGATAAATGTCGTTTTAGTATCGACCTCATTGTATTAGGTATGGGTAATATGAATAATGATCCGATTTCTATATATTGGGTACATTGTATCCTCTGTACATTGATGGCGGAATAAAAGTCATCTATTTCGATATCGCTCATATCGATCGAATATTTATTTTAGAATATCTTAAAATCTGTTATCCGTATATTATTTTTTAGATTAACATATTCGTTATGGGCCCAGTATATATAGATATTGCAACTAAAATATACAGATATTGCTATATATTACCCACCCCTACATTGGATAGTTAAAATCTTGGTCTATATTCGTCCCGCTATTTCCTCGACACGCTGGATTTTTTTTTTTTGGACAATGTATTGGGTTTGGATTCCCAAGCACTTGCGTTTGCGTTTTTGTTGTACGCTCGCGTATGCCAAGGTTTGCTGCTGGTTGACTAAACGCGGGAATAATGGATTTGGGCTCCATTATTAAGTGGATATTGATACTCGCTAGACTTGTCAATAAGATTTATTTCCTAATCTCACCAGTAGTGGAAACTTTTTCTTTCCTATCGGTTATTGTTTCTTTAAGTTTTGCATAGAAACAATGCAAGTAGATTATTAATAAAATATGCGATGATGTACAAAATGTGCATATTGCTGACGCAGAAATCGTATTAGGTTACACTTAGATACTAACAAATTGAGTACAAGTTAATTGCATAAATGAATATTGCATTCTAGTCTGTTATCGTTTTAGCCTCAAATCGCATCGTAATCATCAGCTTTATATCCTTTTAATTATAATGGTCGATTGATTCTTCTGCGGATATCCTCGATTCAGATTCTATCGTAAAGAGCAGCCACATTGCAAGAGCTGTTACTCACAGCTATGGGACGTGGTATTTTATAGTTTTGTATTTGAAATTGATGGGAATTAATGTAAAGCTTCAGTATCTACTTTAGTTAGTAAAATCAATGTTCACATAGTAGGTAGTAGGTACCATACACAACTATGACTCAATACCGTAAATAGAAAATACAGTTCTATACCACTAGTCGAGAGTTCAAATTCCATGACAACTTCTGATGAGTACAAGATGAATGTGCGTTGATGAGTGCACCCAAATTTTAAATAGTTGATAAGCAAACGAATTTAAATTCTCTTAACATACTGTTAAGGTTTATTTTAGACTATCACTGTGATCAGTTATAAGACCTTGTTGATTTGCTGCAAAGCACGATGCATTGTTGGCTGTTGAATAGTTATAATTCGGAAGGAACTGAATGTCACATAATTGGGTATTAGATTCACTTTATTGTTATTTGAGAGTACTTCAACAAAAATTCTAGATATTTCAAATAAAATATCAGGACCAGATGGGACCAGAGGGAGACTTTGTACAAAAGTCGATTGCTTGGGTACCTCTGTCCTATTCGTGTTTCTACCGTGAAACAGTTGTGTTTGCATGACTGTGTTTCGGTTTGAAGGGTGGTATATAGTGTGAATTTACAGGATACAGAGGAATAACACTTGAGTGCTCAGGAATGGCAACGCATGGGGAATATCATGGGCGAAACAGTATACTCTGTTAAGTCCACGGTACTACTCATGTCTATAGGCGACGGTTACTACTTTCCATCAGGTGGGTCGTCAGCTTGTTTACCACTCTAAATTGTATCAAAAAAAAACTTAATCCGACGCGATTGCAGGTAAATTGTACTTACCTACATACCTGATTTTTATTGCCCACGTTTCGTGTCACATTACGTCCCAATAGCATATTTTAAATATAGCACCGAAAACGGGAACGCATAAAATTACCTAGAATTCTTGATCATTCATCTATCTTCATACCTTGTTCTTTACAATATAGGTAGACAGAATAAAACACTGAAAAGAGCAAAAACAACTTAAAATAGAAATATTTAATCCCAAGAAGTACATTTTGCTCTACAAAAAGCAATCTTCAATTTTAACATTAATCTTCGAGAAAAGACCATAATCCTTTTTAAAAGGCCGATAGCATATCTGCAATTCCTCCAGTACTGCGGGTGCTCATGGGTGGCGGTTGTCATATACCATCAAGCGAGCTGCGTGTTCGTTTGTCCCCCGTGTTATAAAAAAAACTACGACTACCTGACTCCCGCGGCTTTGCCCGCGTTAAACTACTACATATAGTATCTGCTAAGATATCAAAACTCTTGTTATATAACTTAATTTTAATAAAAAATAAATAGATAAATTCTTAATTACCAACAGTAATAACAACAATTACAGGTAAAATAACAATAAAAAGAGAAAAAAAAAATCATTTTGCTGGTAAAAGGAGCCGCCTCTGCTCACTCGGTTCTGTTCTGGCCATATCATCTTTCCCATATATATAGAGTCCAACCATGTGTTTTTGGTCTTGCTATATTTATATTAGATCAAAAATATTTCACTTAATATATCTACATTATAATGAACATCATATCGGTTACACAGACGAAGTCGTGGGTAAAAGATAGTAGGCCAATGTATTTAATAGCTTAAAATAAATAAACATACAAAAAAAAACGAATAAATCGAGCACTTCCTCAGTTTGAATATTGGTTAGAAAGAAAACCACAAGTACGGAGTGCAAAAACATAAGTCAATTCATTCGAACAATTATCAATTACTTATCATCGTTATTACAATATCAAAAGTCTAATAAACCTTCGAACTATTGAACTTTATTTACTTTTATTTACTCACTTGTTTGTTTTTTTTCTATCTCTTTTGCACTAAATGCACAATTTAAAACAATGTGACAAAAAGTGTACTAGTTAAAGCGGGATAGTAGATTTTTGTTTTTATGAACAAGAAGGTTCATCGGTCTAAAATCGATTTTACGCTCCACGACTTGTGTCTATTTTAGTTCTAGCTCAATTTTTAGCTGTATCTAAACTCAAAGCGTTCATCGTAATTTAATTCCATTGGCGTCGTCACTAGAATGCGATCAAATTAATAATAATAAGTACTAAACACAGCCGTATGATCCCGATATACAATAGGCCACCTTTTCCTTTCCCGTGGGTGTCGTAAAAGACAACTAAGACAATGGTCCAGAGATGGGCATCAGCGTCCCTCTAAAACATTACTAAAAGCCTAACTGCAGTTGCCAATCCGCCTACCAAACATGACAGTACCGGCCAACAAATATTTGTGGGACAAATCAACCCATAATACACAAACCAGGAATCGAATACGGACCTCATTTATCTGAAGCAACGTGCCCATCACTGAGATCATCAAATCGTCATGAGCTTATTATATTACACAGTGATAACTGATGCATTTAAAATTTCTACTAGTTCTAAAATATTGGAAGATTTTAACCGCATTAATTAATATTTTTTCAAGGTTAAACGAAAACGTTTTATTGTAGTGGGTTTTGGAGAGTCCAAATTATGATTTCATTTGGGATTTCCCAATTGAAAAATTGGGAAATTTATTATAAAAAAAAATATATAACAACACAT